TCCGCGTTCCCTCAAACACTGTTCAAATACAATGACCCAGATCGTACAGAGTTGTCCTCTCTTCAAATCCTTCATCTCCAGCATGGGTCCCGCAAGGATAGCAGCAGAGTCAATTTTCCCATGCAATGTTGCCAACATGCTCAGCCCTATTTTGGCGCGATTACCTCATGATTTGAGGGGATAATTCATTCTTCATGCCCCTCAGTACCTTAATGTATATACTAATAGTGGCAACCAGGGTGCCAATCACTCTTGACTAGATATTTGTGGACATGTAGTTACTGTGAATGAGAGTGCATTTACAATGGTTAGTGAACAACCATCGGATAGCAACTGATGTCTTTCAGTCCTTACTACCATGGGCTGCATTTATATTGTCGATTCAGATAAGAAACTCTATCAAGCAGGCCACAAATAATGTGATTCTTTCTTCATTATTTTTCATGCTTTCTCTGCAATAAAACTGCTTCCCAGCCTGTGTCAAGCTCAAGTTCCACACTTCATGGTATTTTGTCCATTCTTTATGATTTTTTTCTATACTCCCCTTTCCTTTATTCTCAAACATTTCTTTCTGAAGAGATGTGGGTAATTTTTTCCCAGGTTTGAAATTTCTAAAAGAATATAAAGAATATATGAAAACACTGAAGAGGAAAAAGTGGTCTGCCAACCACATGCCAGTCATCAAGAACAGAGATATATAGGTAAGGACACTCCACAGCTACCAAGGAGAATACAATATTACGTATCATAGGGTCAAGCAGCTGTGTAAGAGCTGTGAATTTTTGCTACTCAGAAAACCAAAAAAGCCTACCAGAAAACTTGTCAGTGACCAAATTTCATCGGTAAAAACTCGCAGAACCTCACATTGTTGAGAAAATGTGATAGACTGGGTATCCATACATTTCTTAAAGACCATTTCATAGAGAAGTATGACCAATATATTGAATTTCGTCTTAAGATATCGAAGTACTAGCTAACAATTTCCCTGATAGCCTGCCCACAAGAAAATTGAAACCTTAGCAATTCGCATGATGGCTGCCCCTCAGTCTTCGTTAATCTCACTGGAAGAACCTTACTGAAAAAATGCTTTTTTAAATTTAATTCATTGAAACAGCAGCTGATATCTCTAATGTCTCCTGGGAGTTTTAATCACATTCACCTCAGGTAGATCTCTATGCAGATAGATACCATAAGACACTACTTCACCGGGAACTTAGCCACCTGCACAAGAAGTGGAATACAGTGCATGAGTCCTCTCCCAAAAGAATCACTAAAAATAATTAATTTTCTTCAATATGAAACATTGCAAGCATGCACACACTTAATGCTTGCTGAGGTCCTGTGTAGACAGACATACATTCTAAATGAAAAATGCACTTAAAAACATTTTTATTTTTGAAAGCAGTGTAGTGGAAACTTTTTGGGGCAGCTTACCAGTGCTAAAATTCCTTTTTCATGGACCTGCATACCATTCTCTCTTTTTACAATGAGATAGGGGCACAACTGCTGCTACCAATCTTGTTCCTTTACAATGAGAGAACTACAGGCCTTTGTTCACCAGCAACTTAGTGTCTGAGAACTTAAAATAGTTACTTGACCTGCCAAGAGATTAGACAATTTCAACAATACCTTTTCTGTCCGACTCGCACTTGGTATTTTGGTGGTATGGGAGGTAGACTCTTAGCCCTGTTAGCTTAGGAAACCCAGATAACCTGGGACAGTTGCCCTGGCTCTGCTCCCAAGTTGTCTCTGCCCTCCAAAAGGCTTGTCCTAGGCAACAGGACCTACTTAAATTGAAAATAGTCTCCAATATTGCGATTTCCAGTCTGTTGCTCTGTGAGCCACAGACTGACCAGAGGGAGCAGAGAAGGCTAGAAGCAATGTTAATGCAATGCAGTGACTCCAGGGAACATCTCTATCCTCCCTCCTGAGCCAGAGGATGCCTTAAATGAGGAAAATCCTGAAGAAGTCGTTAAGATAATCTGTGCTGCAGACAGGACCAGCACATGATCTGGCCCACGCAAGGCAATTTAATCACGCAATTTCTCTTACCAGGAGAATTTGTATGACTAAATATTACCACAGCATACTGAAAATGCACCTGAGAGAATCCCTTAAAGCTCACAACACCTCAGTGAAATTAAATAATGTATTATTCTAAACCATTCTCACCCAGTTCTCATACCTCAATTCAAATTTGGCTTAGCTCGCCATTACTTTAGTGGTAATGTCTCATGTTTATGTAGTAAGGATGCTGTGAAAGCAGTGGCTCAGGACAGGAACAGCAAGGGTTTCTTGGGTCAGCAAGGAAGTTTCAGAGCACAGCAGTAGAGAGGCAAGAACACAGTTTATGATTCAGCCTTTGTTTAGGCAGCGCTCTTAACCTGTGAAATCTGGATGAACAGGTAGGCAATCTTGTCCCTTCTCTCTTCTTGTCTTTTTTTTTTTTTTTTTTTAAAATTTTAAATTACCATTAAAACCAAAATGAAAGTTTATACCAAAACTGTATGGAAGTAACAGTAAGCCACAAGGAAACAAACTAAAAAAACAAGTAGATTCTCAGTTTGCTTCACGCTGATACCCTTTTATCTTGTGCTTCGCAACAAGGGGCATGGGCTATGATGTGAACTTTTTTTTTTTTTGCATACTTTGCAGTTGGTAAAAGAGCTTAGTTTACAGGTGTACTTCAGACATGATTACATTCATGTATAGTGCCTAGTGTGTAGAGCCATTTATCTTTTTGTTCGCCTTCAACTACAGTACTTACAAACTGAAAAAACCCTTACTTCCATATCATCAGCTTCCAATGCACTTGAAAGTGTGTGCAAGAAATCAAGCTTAAAATGAATAATAAAATTAAACTGAAGGAGGACAGGGATCTTAATGCAT